TGCGTAATATTTTTCTAGATAAAATATTAAGTTAATCGTTTTTTAAATAGGCATAAATGGCCTTTAAACAACACTATCTCTTTAAAGTTGTTGTGTGATGCAAAATAAAATATAAAAACCTATTTGAACGTGGAGAGCGTAAAAAGTAACTCCTATCTTAAGTATTCAAATTTAAAATTAGCTATCTTTCAATTAGTGGCGGTGCAATTTTCATCTTCATGGACTCAAATTTAATTTTAGCAAAATAATAGAGAATAGCAAAAAAGGATAAATAATTATAACTAAAATTTACAAAAATAAATCAGGGCTGCCCCCTCCCTTACGTTATTTGCTTTCCGTTATAAAAAAAAAGATGAGATAATTAAATCTAACACCTTACTAATAAAATAAATTATAAGGTAAGCAAATATAGGCTTATTCCAAATTGAAAAAAATAATTACCATTTTAAAAAGAAAATTTTATCATTCAATATTAAACAAAGACCAGCAGACCCGGCCCGGGTACATGGGCAAGGCCTTATTTTAATTTTTTTTTAATATCCGAGCCAGGTCGTATATTTTAAATCGCCATTAACTAGAAAAATTAAAAATATAATATATTTAAAAAAAAATTCGCCAGGGTGGCATAATGGGTTATATGCTTAGAAACAGAAGGACGAAGAAAGACGCAGGTTCAATCCTGGTAAGGAGCATAAAAACTTTCAAGTTTTTCTTCGATGACTGATGTGTAAAGACATATGGTAAGATGAATTTCGGAGCTTAGAGATGACACCCCGGTCACCGACAGGCCTGGACACCCGGGTGCTAAGGATACCTGTCCAATAAACAAAATGAAGGAAACAAATGGAAATATGAATATGAAAGCTAGGGCGTTCCCTCCAAGCGATGCGCAGGGTGTAGACCTCCATCCTGTGAAAAGTAAAGGTCAAATCAAAGAAGACAAGATTAGCAAGTTTGAATATTGGGACGCTTAAAGGTAAGACGAGAGAATTGGCATCAATGTTGAACAAGAGAAAAGTTGATATAGCGTGCATACAAGAGACGAAATGGAAGGGAGAGAAAACTTTGATGATTTGAGATGGGTATAAATTGTACTATAAAGGAATTGTTAACAATAGGAACGGTGTCGGCATCATCCTCAGTCAAGATCTAACCTCCTCAGTAGTAGAAGTCAACAGGATCTCTGATAGACTAATGAAGATAAAACTCTGCATTGGTCAATCAATACTACACATCCTTTCAGTATATGCTCCTCAAATGGGTTGCAAGGAAGAAGAGAAAGATGACTTTAGAGCTATCCTTGATGAAGCTGTAATGGAAATCCCTAAGGATGACCTAGTCATAATTGGTGGTGACTTAAATGCGCATGTGGGGAAAGCAAGAGATAGCTAAAAAAGGCATCACGGTGGTTTTGGATATGGAGAAAGAAATGATGAAGGAGAGCATGTACTGAAATTTGCGCAATCCTTTGACCTTGCCTCAACCAACACCTACTATAGGAAAAAGGACAGTCATATAATAACATATGAAAGTGGTACAAGGAAAACACAGATAGATTGCATGCTAATCTCTCGCAGAAGATTAAAAGATGCAATAGACTGCAAAGTAATCCCAGGTGAAGATATCGCCGCGCAACACAAGCTACTAGTCATGGATTTACACATCTCAAATAAATCCACACAAAACAAGATAAAACTGGAACCATGCATCAAATGGGGCAAATTAAAAACAATGACAGATGCCTTTGCAATCAATGCAAACATTGAAACAATAGATTCGTCAGTGAAGAAATGTGGACAGACCTTTCATCCGGATTAATAGACACTGCCAAGTCGACACGGCTTGACAAGGGGAGGTAACAAATCATACAAAGAACTATCGTGGTGGAATGAAGAGATACAAACCACTATACAGGAGAAAAAAGTCCTTTATAAAATATGGTACAAATCCAAAAACCCAGATGACAAGATACAAAAAATCCAAGAGATTAGCTACAAAGGCGGTGGCTAGGGCCAAATCAAGGCATACAATGACATGTATGAAAAACTACATACCAAAGAAGGGCAAAAATATACAGATTAGCCAAATAGCGAGAAAAGAATTCTAGAGATATAAACGGAGCTCCAAAAGTAATCAAGAATAAAGATGGGAAATTGATATAAAAGAAAAAGAAATAATGAACAGATGGAAAGAATATTTTCAGGAGCTTCTCAACTTTAATTCCCACATATTACATCTAGGCGAACACTCCCCATGTCATAACCTTGTACAACCTATAACAGAACAAGAAATAATCACATGCCTCAAGCATATGAAAAACAACAAAGCTAGGGATCCAGACGATATTCCAATAGAAAGCCTTAAAGCACTAGGAGATGATGGAATACATCTCCTCACAAATCTGTACAATAAAATACTTGGAAATGAAGAGGTTCCCCAAAAATGGAGGCAGAGCTATCTAGTTCCTATCTTCAAAAATAAAGGGGATCCACACAATTGTCAAAATTACAGGGGCATAAAACTAATGTTACACTGTCTAAAATTATACGATAAAATAATAGAAAAATAAGAGAGATAATCGAAATAGGAGAGACTCAGTTTGGCTTTATGCCTGGAAGATAACAACTGATGCTATCCACGCAATTAGACAAATGAGTGAAAAATACAGGGAAAAGAACAAAAAGCTACACATGGTCTTTCTCGATCTAGAAAAGGCCTTCGATAGAATCCCAAGAAAACTTATCTGGTGGGCGCTATGCCACAAAAAGGTTCCCGAAAAATATATAAGAATAATACAGGATATGTATATGGGCCATACAACAATGGTCCGTAGCACAAAAGGTACTTCAGCAGGCTTCACAATAGCCAAAGGAGTTCATCAAGGGTCGGCTCTCAGCCCACTTCTCTTCATTACAGTCATAAATGTATTAGCACAGTCTATACCTCAAACAGTCCCGTGGATTATGATATTTGCAGATGATATTGTGATACTTGCCGAATCCAAAGATGAAATAAAAGAAGTGAGTTGGATAAATATCCTAGAAAAGCACGGACTAAAAGTAAATAGAGAAAAGACGGAGTATATGGTGATAGGAGGAGATGAAACAGAGAGTATTGATATAAATGAATGGCAGATATCGGCAATTGTATTTGGGCTCCACTATACAAACAAACGGCACAATAGAAAAAGAGTAAAATTAATGAAGGGTGGTTAAAGTGGAGATCTTTATCTGGAGTGCTATTTGACAAAAGAATCCCACACAAATTAAAGGTAAAAATTTACAGTTCCATAGTACAACCAACTATTCTATATAGTTCGGAAACATGGCCAACCAAAGAATCAGACGAGAGAAGTCTACAAACTATGGAGAATGAGAATGCTGAGGATGGTTGCTGGGGTAACAAGAAAGGATAAAGTGCGCAGTACAAGAATACTAAGTATTTTAAAGGTAGTGCCAACTAAGACTAAGTTAATGGTAAACAGACTTAGGGTATGGGCACACAATGAGAAGGCCTATGAACTACATAGGAAATAAGGCTGAGAGTTTGGAAGTGATGGGCAAACGTAAAAGAGGAAGGTCAAAACTTCAATGGGGCCATAAAGTTAGAGCCAATATAAAGAAGTATAAATTAGATAAAAGAGATTGTATGAATAACATAAAGTGGAAAGAGATGTTGAAGTAGCTTACCACGAGAAAAGGTGAAAGCTAAAGAGAGAAAAAAAATATATATATTTTTTAAAAAATCAGGGTTGGGCCTTAAAATATACAACCTGGGCCAGTCAGAGGGGCCGTGCAAATGGTACCTCTGCAGGTCTCTGATATTAAACATTTTATCTTATTTAGTACCGACCATTTTTGATATACCGGATGAGATCGGGCAATAACCGGTATTCGTAGAAATGAATAATCAAGCCGACCTGATATTTAATAATCGGTGCTTCTATTAGAGATCTGCAAAGTTGGGCCTATTTAAAATAATCGGGTTTGGGCCGGGCCTAATATTTTTAAAAAAATTTCGGACCGGGTCGGACCTTGGAAATTTTATTAAATATATCTAAATTTATCAATTTATATTGAATTTTTTATGTAAAATATAAATTTTTGATTTAATTTATTGAAAATAAAAGCTATATAACATATGTCTTTTATTTTAAGTAATTATAAAAATTAATTTCTATATTTAAATAAATTCGGGCCTGGCCGGACAGGTAAATTTTTTTAAAATAAATTTCGGATTCGGGCCGGGCCGGCAAATCTTTTAAAAAAAATTCGGGCTGGGCTTAAAAAATTAGGCCCGATGCAGATCACTAGCTTCCATTAAATTTTATCATTTAAAAGATATATTGCATTCGCTATGATATAATTAAATTTTAAAATTTATTTTTACAAAAAAGTACTTTATGTTAAATGTTTATAACCAAAAACTAAACGATTATAAAAATTAAAATTGTTTATTTTTCTAAAAAAAAATTATTATAAATATAATTAAAATCTTCTGATATTTTTTTTTATAAAATATATTCTTTTCAAAAAAATAATATAATTTGATATATATTACATTGGTAAACCAGCTGAGACCTTAAAAAAAATTTATTTACATACAACAAACAAACAGTGAATTTGTTTAATGATAACCAATTGTGCATGCATAGGACCTATTTTTTTTAATTGGACTTTTGAAAAAGGAACAATATTTTGAAGGAAGAGAAAAAATTATAAAAAACAAAGCAGGGAAAAAATTTATAACTTTGTCGAGATCTCGATCTAAACTTATTTTTAAAATTAAGGTTAAAATCTGACGAAGTCCGAGGTAATGTCTGTTCGGTCGGTTCAACGTGAGTTAGGCCGGTTAATATTCAGATCGGTCCGTGGAGCGTTTGTCTCTAATAATTAACCATCTTTGAGAGAATAATCTATTGGAGAATTCTCTTTCATCTAGAATTCTTTAATTCCGCTCTACTCGTAAAAATATATTGTCATTGTAAATATTATTCTAACCTTTGGCGGTAAATTAGTTCGGTTCATTTCCGTCCTGCGAATTCCTCTATTCTCTCCATTTATATCCAAATTCGTATGTAAATGATTGTCCTTGTCAGAAGAATCTACCCTCGTTTCTTTGTTGGTTAATAAATCGTTTTCAATGGTATACGAGTTACCGCGATCAGAATCGCTGACCGAATAGCTATCGGAAGAACTTGCTTGGGAATCTAAGTCGGAAGTGAACTCCCCTCCTCCATTATTCTCGTCGTCAAGATTATTCATTCCATCATGCTTCGTTTGCTGCTCATTTCTTCCAGTTATAGTGGTGACCGGGGAGACTATAATAGTGTCTTGATTAGTTTTTTTGAAATCCAAAGAATTTTTTGTATCCTCGTGGTATTTTTTATCATGATCATCGTTGTTACTATATCCTTTTTTGAATCTTCCGTTTACATCATCATGATTCCCGTTAATATTATTAGGCATAGTTCCTACGTCATTTCCCAAATCGAATTTCTTGAAATTGGAGTTCCCACATTTTTTGTTATTTTTATCATATTTATGACTTTTTTCATTTTTATGTATTCGGCTATCTGGGTCTTCCCTGGTAACCTTTCCGTTCGCTTTTATATTAGAGTGTTCAACATCGTTTCCCCGTTTATTCGAATTTTTCTTGCAATGATGGTGGTGATGATGATGATGATTAACGTGTTCGAGAACGTGATTCTGACTTTTGAGTGAATCTTTTTTGTTTCTTAAATTGATTTTCTTCCCCTTTATGACTTTTCCATTTTTTCTCACTCGTTCTTCTTTTTCATCCAGGGGAGAAGATGACGAGGAATCAGAGGTAGTGTCATATTTCTAAGAAATATGGGAGGAATAATAATTTTTATAAAATATTTTAAAAAATCATATTTTTCATAAATATCGTTTTGCTTTACAATTCTTTCACCTAGGATTCTTGTCTATATTTAAATATCAATCTCATCATGCTCTTTACTTATCTTTACATTCGTGCTCACTTATAATAAATGATAATTGGATCTCTATCAATTAGACACTCTTTCTTTTTATATTATTCTAATATCAAAAGAAACTTTTGTTTAGTCCTCTGAGAAAATAGGATAAAAAGATAAAATTTTTTATGTGTAGATTTAATTCAAAACATTTCCATATTTTTTTAATTAGTTTGTAAATAAAATTATTTAACTTGTAAAAATTGATAAGAATATAGAAATATGTTATTTTAACAATTTCTTGCAAGTCAAATAATTTTAGTTTCAAATAAATTATAAGATATGGAAATGTTTTCTATCAAACCTGGTCAACACTGTATTATACATTATTATACCTTGATATTTTATAGCTTCAGTATAAAAAATCAATATTTTTTACAATTGCGTAATATTAAGACTAATAAAATGATAATTTTATTAAAAAAATTTGATTTTGTTGTTTATACCTTTCCGATTTGAACTCATAAAAAAATATTCTCAATGCCACCCCTTTTTGGCCATATAATAAAAATAGTAGCTTTCGAAATATTGTTGTACTTAAATGATTATAAAGAGATAGACAATATTATTATCATAATTACGGGTATAAATTTCTTTTAGGACCCTCTAATAAAGGGGCAGGTGGTGCAACTGCACCCTTAAAATTTTAGGGATAGCTTGTGAGAGTGGGGTATTCTTATTCAAAAATACAGTCAGTCTCAGTATCCATTTAATAATTGGGTCATGAAGAGTGGGGAACTCAACTTCACTAGCTTGACGAGTTTCAAGGGCTATGAATTCTCTCTATAGGTGAATAAATGACAGCATGTTGATGCCATATTTAGAAGCAAATTCAATTCAAAACAGGCTGGCGAAAACTGATTAAGGAATTAATAAGTATTAGTCAGGCACTAAATTTAGTGGAAACCAGATATTTCTTCTATATTTTATATACACCCAAAAGCTTGGTTATTCATATTCATAACTCGGTTTATTCTTTTATGATTCACAAAACTGATCGAGTAATTAATAATATACTACTACTGGTCAGGCATTATTTATTAGCGCAAACCTGATATTTTAGTTATATACTAGTGCTGTAAACGTTACTTCAAAAAAGAAACGCGTTATCCCTTACCTTGGGAACAAAGGAACGTGCGTTAATGGCTATTCAGAATATAACGTGTTACTCGTTACTTGAAAAATTAAATATTATATACAAAAATTTCCTATATATAATATAAATAAAATTATACAACAATAATATATTATAAGATGAGATTTTTTATAGTAATTTTTTATTCTATTAAAATAAAAATAAAATTATACAAAAATAATATATTCTAAGATAAGATATTTTTATAATAAATTTTTAATTTTTCAATTTATTCAAAATTTTGATAAGATAAACAAGAGTGCTCAACACATCTTTCGTCGTGCTAAACACGTGGAGGGTTGTTTTATATTTAATAAATAAAAATTTTAATTGGTGAAATTTATAAAAAATTTAAGAATACTCCTTATTTTGAAAGGTTAGATCTTCTTCTAAGGAATTTTATTCAGATCCTCATAAAAAATTTTTTAATCTTATTAGAATTTAGTATGTGTTGTTTTTTAAAGGAATCATAGTCTGCTTTTTCTTTGTCAAGATATTTTCTCAAATTGGAAATAGTTCAAGCTTTCTACCTTCGTTGATCTATAATTTTATCCGGGGCTACTCTAAGTAGCAGGTGAATCATTGATAAAAGTATATATTCATCTAGATGTGTTCGAATCAATTGAAAATAAAATAATCAAAATATAAATTCTAAACAATATTTCAACTGTATTTATATGCCTTGCAGGATTACATTAATAAGTGGCTTACAAAACTTGAAATTATTTAAAGCTTTATTTAGTTCTAAAATCAAAAGAGCCATAGCAACAGGTTTCATAATACATAAAATCATATATACCACATATATTTTTTAATTACATTACTTTACAAAATATATATGAGAACGACTTGTCATTATCTAAAATCTCTGTAATTTAGGTTTACACAAGATTCGTCAAATTGGTTATTTTCCTTTATAAGACTATTATTTTCACACCGGTTTAATCAGACATCTTCCCATTTTTTAAAAATGGCTGCACATTTACGAGACTGTCCATATTCTACAATTGAGGAAATATTTGAGTTGGGACACAATTTTACAAAGTGCTGGTGTAAAAAATATTTAATATTGGGGCCAGGGCAGGTTAAATCATTTTCATCTGAAGAAATATGTTCAATTGGCATGATATTCTTTATAAAATAAATTATAATATTAGAGAATAATAATATAAATTAATCATCTTGATTGTTTCAATATTAGAACAAGATTGACTGAAAATTTAATAACAAAAATTTATGAAGGAATTTGGTGGTTGGGTTGATCTAAGTTACTCTGCTTAAATTATTTATAAAATAAATAAAAATAATTTTATGATACAATAAAATATGTTTTTTCCATATTTTTTATGAAAAATTTAGGGTAACGAATAATGTTTTGAGTTACCGTTACTCAAAAAAAAGAAACGCGCTATAGTTACTCGTTACCTCTAGAAGAAAGTAATGAATGATGTTGCATTTCTTCAAAAATGTAAAGTCATTAGTAGCGACGTTACTTTACAACACTAATATTTTCCCTCTTCTGGCATGATGCCAATTTTTTTCTCCATATTTTGCTAAAAACGTCTTTTATACTAGCAGGCAGATTAAAATAAGCAGATAAAATTTTCAGGATAAATACTTTCCCTCAGTTGTTTTAAAATCGTTTACTTTCCCCTTTTCCTTGAATAAATCTTGGCTAAGCCCCTAGCCAAGATTGAAAACTGGGCAAAGCTTAGAATCATTATAGGCTTTTTTTTGCTTAAAATTTGTAAATTGAATAACTTTAAAAAATTGAGATTGTTATGCCAACTACGCATTTTATAATAAAACATATTTCAAATTTTAAATATAACATTTCTACGTCTCATCAACATAAACAAAATTAGCATCCAGCCTATTTAAATATTTAAAATATTTTATAAATCATTTAAAACTTTGGAAAAATAAATTCATAAAAAAAAACTTAAGTAAACGATAATTAAACTATCAAACTTAAAAATCTATTAGAACAGAAGTATAATATTTAGGCTCTGTCCAAAATAGCAAAAAATTAAATTCACAAACTATCAAAACTTTAAAATAAATAAATAAGTTATTAAATTTAAAAACATGTGCACGTCCAACATATTTCATTAAAATTTTCGTAAGTTTTCTAATTTTTAAAAAAGATTTTGGACATATCCTTAATAAAATAAAAAGTAAAAATGAATCATAAACTAATTTAAGATTAAAAAAACTAAATTTCCGGATAAAATCCTTTAAACAAAATAATTTTTATTCGACGACAAAACCAATAATAATTATCAATAAGAAAAAATAATAATTTATATCTGAATTTTTTCTTTTACCGAATTTCCGCCACATAAGAAAGTCTTTTTCAGTTTTTCCATAGAAAGAATGTATAAAATTATAGTTTTTATATATCGTATAAGATTTATGATTCCTTATATAAGATCTAAATCCCCCGCTAAAATAAAAGGACAATTTGTAAGATTTTTTTGCCACGGTATTTTTTTTTTAAAAAATTATTTTTATTTATAATAGGAAAAGGAGAAGATAATAAAATATAAATAATAAAAAGATGTATTTATTTATAAATTCTTCTCTTCTGTAAATTTTTATATAAAAAAAAATTAAAAAAGGTAAGAGAAAAATAAAATACATATCTTATTTAAAAATAATAATAAAACATACTAATTTTTAAATTTTATTAAAATTTCTACGATTCAATAATAATAAAGAAAAGATAACAAAAAAAATATCTATAAATTATTTATCAATATTTATTTTATTTTTATTTTTACACGTTTTTTTTAAATTATTTTTACTATATTCTCTAGTCGTTTATCGTTTAGCTATAACATTTTTTTAAATAAAAATTAAAGGTAGGAGATAGGGAAAAGGGAAAGAAAAATTGGGGAAAAGAAAATGGGTTTTTATGGTTATTATGAATGCTCGATTGATTTCTCATAGATTATGCTGGAATCAACTTAATAGGTAAAAAAAATATAATCATTACATTATTTATTTATTATATATATATAATTAAAAATAATATAAAATTTGTGTGATTTTTTTTCAAATAAAGAAAGAAGTGAAGGAAGGGAAAAAGAAAGGAGAAAAAAAAATATATATTATAATATAAATCAGATCAGTCAATCGCTAAATTAAAATGAATTCACAAATACAAAATTAATCAAAATAAACTTTCTTAAAAAATAGTTGATATGTTATCCCTGAATAAATTATGTTTGAATACAGGTATTCTCTCAGATCGGGCAAGCTGGCCCTTGATTTTAAAAATTCTGTCCAGACCGAATTTGAAAACAAAAATTTGGGGCATCGGGTTTTTTTACTACCATTCCATTTCAAGTCAATATTTTTTTTTATCAAAAAAAATTATAGTGGCCTTTTTACGTTATCAAGGCCCTATTAGGTAGGACGGAGTCGAAACCAATTTTTTTAATCGGAAGGACATGGCTACTAATCCTATGTAGTATAATTTTGTCTTGAAAGTTTAGATTTTTCGGGATTATGTATGCCCAATTTTTAGCACTCGAGATTTGTCAAATGGTAAAAGCTTTGAAAAAAATGAAGCAGAGTTGAAAATTTTCGATTATTTTTATCTATAGGCATAAGAGACTTTAGGTGATGTCCTGGTTTGACTTAGTTTTGATACTTATTGATTTCGCCCAAGCCTTTGAACTAGGACACCCTTTTTTGGCTTGTTTTAAGTTTTTGGTGGGCATTTTATTGTTTATTTTCTACTACTTTTTGGTTTCTTCTACTTTTCAGGCTGCATTGTCAATAAGTCGAATTAAAACACACACTCAGAGCTTAACATGATATGGTTTTTTTAAAGTTATCTTATGCCGTTTTTTTTCATGTACTAAGTTGTGATAATCAAAAACGTATGGTCATCTTTCTATAAGATTAAAAATGAAGCGTATATATTTGAAGCCAATTAATTTTACAATTTATAATTGGTGATTTTTTCCCCCAGGGGTTATAGTATTATATTTATTTTTATGGATTTAAGTTAGCACTGGTATAGTTGGGCCATGTCGGCTAATTCGGCTCAATCTGCAGACGTGTGATGGAGAAAATCCGTGAACTTAAGGACGTTCGTTGATATTAGTTTCCTTAAAATTTGAGCTGCTATCATTTTAAAAAAAGACCCAAGACCAGTGATAGTTTTCGGCTAAAAATTGGTTTAAGCGACTAATAATATAGTAACTACCCAACTATGGTTAGCAGATCACTAATATTTTTTCACAAAAAAAAATTGTCAATAGGAATTTTTTAATCCAAAATTATTCAAATTTTAAATGTTTGATATAAAAACCAATTTTAATTTCCACTATAATTTTTTTTAAATGAAATGAGAAAGCTAGATAACGTTGTACTGAAGAGTACTAATTACATTGAAAAAAACTAAAATGAAAGTATGTTTTTAATATAAATAAACATTGTAGTGTGCCGATACTATCCGACTTTGCCGTTATCTGGTCGATTTATGAATAATGAAATGATGATAAAAATGTCTTTAGTTTATAGAATCAAAAAATATAACAATAAAATTAAAGCACATAAAAGCGAATAAAATATTCCAATAAAAAGAATAATTAGCCGTGGCGCTTTAGCATGTTTAACATCCAGATAATAAAGAAAATGAAAGGAGGGGGTTGCACCCATAACCCCCCCTACTTATTATTTAGCTCGACTTATAAATGACCGGAGCTGACAACGCGACCTTTCAGGTTCCAAATTCCACTAGATAGAATTCGTATTGATACTATGATATGATCTGCTAATATCGGTTAATTTAGATATTTTATATGAATTAAAGAATCAATCCTATTCAAACCGAAGCTGAAGAGTTAAACGGGTATTAATCATTATTATATTCCAATCCTAAGCTGAACATTAACAATTTTGTCACCCGAATCTCTAAAAAAAAGCCCGTGAACTGGTTTAAAACTTTTAACTGATTTAAAGTAGTCGTTATTTTTAGATATTCTGTGTTTATTGTTTTTTTGACGGTGCCGCGTATAGAAGTATTATTTTCAACTATAAAACTTATTCTTTTTTCTTATAGATACAATTCTTTGTAAATATTTTGATTGTACTAATAGAATAATATTTATATATATTAAAGTTTAATTAAATATAATTCATTATTTGTTTTATAAAAATTAGGTGATATATGTAAGTGTAATTATAATGAAATAAGGTATTAAGTCATAAAATTTTTAAAAAATGTGTTGTGTATCTCTATATATGTTTATAGTCAATACGCTTTATCAGGCCCGACTAAGGCAATCAATAAACATTATATGAAGTTTTAAGTTATAAAATTTAAAAAAATTGTTGTGTATCTCTATATATGTCTTAGTCAATAAGCTTTATCAGGCCTGACTAAGGCAGTCAATAAACATTATATGCAAAGCCCGGCCCGTATAGACTTCGGACCGGGCCTATTTTATATAAAAAAAATTTGGGTCGAACTGGGTTGTGTCTAATATTTTTATATATAATTTTCAGATTTGTGAAATAAATTGATACTATATTTTAAAATTTTTGCAAGAAACAAGACGCCATTATTTTTAATTTGTAGAATCTCATTTATACAATTAAAAAATATATTAAATTTTTCTCTATTTAAATAAATCAGGGCCCGGCAAGAAAACAATTCATTTAGACGCCATATTTCCCAAAGTTAAAAAAATAATTTTTCGTTTTTTTTGATTACTTTATTTATTTTTATCTATCAACATAGAGATGTCGTTAATAAAAATAAAATATTTTGACTCATAAAAAATGGCATTTAAATGTCTTGGGGGCTAAAAATTTTAATGTTTCATATTCGTGAGAGGTAAAAAAAAGAAATATCAATATCCATCAATCGTATGGTATATTATCATACTTTTCATGTAATGATTATATAAATATGCAGATTTGAGAAATCTTTCGAATATAACAAAAGAATTTTTTTTTATAAGTACCGGATGAACTAATGTGATGTCACTTTTTTCATCGAACCCGAATACCAATACCCGGATATCGTTATTTATATTTTTTTAAAAATGAAGTCATTTTTAAGGTTGAAAATAAAATATTATATACAAAAGAAAAATTATAAATATTTAAGCCTAGGTTCGAAACCCCGTTTGCTCATCAAAAGTATTCTTTTCATTTTTAGATAAATATTTTAATTATTTTGCCAAATGATATCCTATGATTATTTAAATAATATAATAAATTCATATAAATTTTTATGAACTTTAAAAACAGATATTTATATATATATAATTTAGATTAATTTTGCAGCATTATCAGCAAGATTTTTTTTTGTTAATGTTCGTATTCTTTTCTATTTCACTGATCCAAAAAAAGGGGCCAAACCAGATGAAAAATAAAAAATTATTTTTTTTATAATAATGATAAAATAAGTACTTATGTAAAAGATTAATTATTGAAGAGCTATCTAAAAAAAATTTAATATAATTTGGTAGAGGTCAGTGCCATTAGCATCGGTATATATAAAAATTATAAACATCGGTTCATCTATGAGCAAGAAACATGGTTATTTTATAAGCAAATTTCGTATGACGGCCGAAAACATCCAAAAAAGAATAATTAAAACGTTTGGAAACATGAAACGGAACTAATATTTTTTTTAACTAGAATGGAACAAGAAGGTAAAAATGACTTTGTTCTGGGTGATTAATTCTTAGGAAATAGAATAGATTTTCATAACGGGCGGGTAGCGGCAGACTTTTTTTAAAAAAAAATCAAAAGAGTGAGTGGCGGATTGGTGAAAAATATTTTTTAATAATTAAATTGCTTAGTTTAAAATTTTGCATAATTTATAAGTTCAATATATTAACCAAAATAAAATAGAGATACTATCTATTTAAACATGGACGGGTAAGCGGGACAGGTGAGCTTCTAAGCTAACCTTTCCGTTTGCTACATAGCCTAAATTTTTTTTTTTTAAGTTTGCTTTTGAAATGTAAGAGGCACTATTTTTTTAAATTATGCGTTTAAAAGCTCGATAGAAATGAGGGACTCTGCTTAATATATGAAAGACAAGGAAATATTTATAATATCTTTAAATCGAGATATTATTTCCTAATTCCATTTACAAAAATACGGGCCTAAACCTAAAAAAAATACCGCCGGGCTTCTGGGGGTGAGGGTTCGGACCAAAAATATCTCTTTTTTTGCAAGCCTCTCTTTATTTTAAATAATATTATATTTTTACAATCATAAATTTTAGGTGTTAGAGACACTATAGCCAGCTTTGATTGGAGGGAAAGTTGCATCCAGCATTTTGTGAAAAATTTGGCATACTTCTAAAGAAAATTGATTTTCTTGACAAAAACAAATGTGTGGTATTTTATATCGTATCCATTCGGTGTTTTAGGATTAAAGCACCGAAGTCAGTCCGTTTTTTGTTCGGCTTATGCAAGCCGAAATTAAACACGTGCGAAAGTAAAGACTATTTTAATCAATATCGTAATATAATATAAGATTATTGCGATTTTTTCTAAACAAATAATAATTTTCTAACGAAATTAATTTTACTTAAAATTAAAATAACCAGGTATTCCATTTATTTAATATTTATGAATTATTTTTCCCAGAAATACAGAACTAAAGCTGACTTGTATGAAGCCATCTTTGAAAAAAATGAAACCTGATTAGCAATGGCCAAACGTTTTACTGATTTTAAAAAAATAGGTGATAAAGAATGTAATTTTTTTATTAGAAAATCCAATTATAAAGTATATATAACAGAAAAAATTGGAAAAAAGTGGACATTAACTCTGCAACTCAGATAAACATAATTATTTAAGCCATATCTTTTTTTTCCCAATTAAATTATAGTTTAATTTTAAATTTAGATAATTTATAATATTTTACGATTTTTTTTATAGCATAGTATACCAAAATGTTTATACTTCCTTATTAATTTATATAAAGGTTCTTAATCTCTTATCAAATAATTCCATTCTAAACCATGAGGGATTAGCAATAGGTAGAATTCGAAATTAGAATTTTCTTAAATAATAATATTTTTAAATATCTAGGCTGGGGTAATAAAAAAACTTTTTTTAAATACTCGGGCCGGGCCGTCTATTTTAAAACCAAAAATTTTAATCGCCATTATTAATATAAAAATTAAAAATAAATATAATATATTTTTTAAAAATCCGGGCCGGGCTGTAAAAAATTTTTGAAAAAAAATCCAGGACTGGCCGGGCTGTGCGAATGGTACCTCTGCAAGTCTCAGACATTTAACTAACTTAATTAATGGCTCATGTCTAACAAATATTAGAGATGGTCATAAACTAGTTCTAAAAGTATCTTGAAATCTTTCATCTTGCTGGCGTAAATGATAAAACTTTGCCATGTTACACTTATCTCAATAGTTTCAAATTTCTTCCAACCCAGCTATTTTTGTATTGGGAATATTTTTTTAAATCTCCTCCTACTTGATAAAGGTTCATAATTTGACTGAATTATTAGATTTCTTGGGACCTGCCGTATAATGTATCAGAGTTGTTGGTATATTGGGAGGATGTCGCATTTTTAGTTCCAAATTAGGCCTATAATACGGGTATACCTAAGACACTTATTAACAAAAGATTTAGTACTGAGTTTCATCCCAGTGTTATCCTAGCTCTCTAATTCATAACAAATGGTTGACATAACCAAAGCTTTAAACATACTTACTTTTGAGGGTATAGGGATTAGCGCCGAAGATTATATTTTATGAACCATTAATATTTAATTGAAGTAATCAGCCTTCTTTTGCTAAGATATTTTAGTAGGTACTCCTTCAACTAATTTCCCCTTTAAAATTACGTGTGTATTTGTAGTTGTAAAAATTGATGTCATCATCTTGGTTTTATCTTTATTAATATTTAACCTAGTGTTGTTAAATGGCTCGATTTAAAAAAGACTAGCCCAATATTTTAGCCAAAAATAATACGCAAACGTGGTTTGTTCATAAACGGCAGAAAGGTTTGGACATCTATTAACGAAATCTCGAGGCTTGCATAATTCTGGTTAAAAAATTGGGTTAGCCGTTTTTTAACTCAAATGTTTCCCCTTCCACAACCTCTTCAGCTAAATTTTGTAGATTTTCCGTTGATTCCCAAATAAGGCATCATCCGCCAACGAATATGTATTTATATTTTCGATTATTTTGTCTCGTTCTTCTTCTACCTTTTCATTTGCTATCATTCAATGTAATTAAATAATAGCAGCGATACACACATCCTTACTTTAGACCAATTTCCATCGGAAATTTTTCCGACTTTAAACCTGCATGTAATATTTCCACATGACATTATGCCCTTTCCTGAATGCAATAGCACTGGTTTTATTTTGTGGAAATTTTGAGTTTAAAGATTTATGCCTTATTTCGGAATCGACGGAAAAATTACAAAATTTAGCTGTAAAGGTTGTCATGGATTGAGGTGTGGTTTAAGATTAATATGGATATAACCAAGATGATGACTTCAGTTTGTATAACTGTCAAGGTAGTGTTCAAAGGGAAATGGGTAGAAGATTCTCCACTCTAAGAATCTTAATGATCACATCGAGACTAAAGCAAATATGGTCTTTGAGCAAATACCGATTCCTTAAAACGTATATTTAAAACTTTATTAATGTCAACCCATTATGGACTGGAAAGTTGGGATGACACAAGAGTGAAACTAGGCAAGAACCAATAGTTTTTAAATAAGTGTATCCGGTATAACATGAAGACGTACTATCCGTATAATACGTCGAAGGCAACATCCTCCCAATGTATCAATAGGTCAAGTACAGGAAGAGAGTTACTTGGACAAATTTTACTAAAAACTAAGCTAGTTGATAATATGAACATATATATCAAGTGGTAGGGGCTGTAATAGCTGGTTTGGAAGAAATTTGAAACTATTAGGTGAGATGAACATGACATGGCACTTTATCACCAATGTGAGTAATAGGAAAAATTTCAATATATTTATAGAACAAGTTTATAACCATCTTTAGTCTGAGCCATTTGGAATCAAGGTAACTTCAAATACTTAATGCATAATAATCAGATAACATATAATATTAAATATTAATCATATAAATAATTGATCAGATTTTAAATTTTAAGTGACTAAAATTAATAAATTAAATATTATAAGAACCATTGTAAATTAATCTTAAAAGAGGGAGTGAATTGTATTTGATATCCTACTTATTGTTTAGGGTTTTCAGTTTCACGTTACTTTCTCACTGTTATAGTTTTTTTAGGAGTGAAGTAATGTTAGATAAATATTATATTTTACTGTAATGAATAATCAAAAGGAAGAGTTTTAGAGCACACCAGATAACGTAATTGTTTTTTTCTGGGTAACAAGGTTTGTTGGCATCGTTGTACAAACCATGATTATGCGAGGATGGGCCTTGATTAATTGTTAGGCTTTATGTGAGAAGGGTAGTAGACCAACATTTAAATAATTAGAAGTCATATATCTTTTATTTCGAGTATTACAAAAAATTTAAGCAAAATAATACAATGTCTAATATTAATTATATATATATATATAATAAAAAATAAAACAAAAGATAATAGTAAAAAAAAAACTAACAAAAATTTTTTATATTTACTTCAGGTCTGGCCGGATGGACAAATAATTTTGGTCGGGCTATTCGGGACAAATAAAAAAAATTCGTTCGGGATCGGGGAGGGCCTAGAAACTGTTTAAAAATATTTCAGAATCGCGCCGGGTCAGAGAAGTTTTTTTAAAAATATTTTGGGTCTAAGCCAGGCATAAATTAGGCTCGATGCTGATCACTAACTGTAACTATACACCAAATTACATTGAATCTTGTAATCATTTTTTAAGATGATTAAAATATTTTTGCCTGATTTTGCAAAAAAATATGTGAATAATATTTATGTTAATTGGTCATTTTCGGTTTTCCCTTTTTTTAAGTAATAAGCTGATTTTTTTTATTAATATTTATATTTAATGATATATTAAATTATTAACTAATTAACATTATTAAGATATATTATAATAAGTCCGATTTTTAAGATCCGATATCAGTATAATTTTCTTTTAGATATATATTCAGAAGGGGTTTGAAAATCGACTATTTATGGGCTGATTCAAATTGTAATTTACAACTTTTTTGGTCAGCAGTGGATAAACAAAGTATGGGGCTATGGAAAAATTCCATGTATAATACAAATCAGTTAATAAATAAGCTATAAAAAATTTATCAGGGTCTGTTTATTTAAAATATAAAAATGGTAAATGATATTTATTAAATATAATATCTAAACTTATTATAAAATGATGGTCCAAAAAGTTTTAAAACCATTTTTATACCGGCTGAATCTGCTTAAGGGCTCGATTGCTGATAGATTTAAATAAGTTATAAAAATAAAGATTCTGCTTGTAATGGAGCAAAAATTAAAAAAATGATATTATTAGGAGAATAAATCATCTTTACCAAGGCTAACATTCTTTATGTATTGTTGATGTGTTTCCAGATTATATAATATTTTTTAGGAGATATATGGCGTATGTATGATCATTAGGCATATTCAAAAACGAAAATGAATCGAAGAATAGTGAATCATTCGTACTCAATTCTTTTGAACGAATATAATAATTTACCATTCATATATTTACACCAATCGAATAAAAATATTAAATAGTTAATTTGTTTAAACGAATCTATTCGAATAGTATATGTTTATGAATAGGCCTAATGATCTCCTTATCGATATCGATTTGTTTCGCATTCAAAATAATACGAACAAAAATATAAAAACCATTTCATCTTCGTCAACCATAAACTCGCCGGTTTCATAACAGTTGTACTCTTCTTTAGTCGGTTTTATATTTTTATCGCATTCGTCCCCAATCGTTAAAATTCCAGTGACAATTGATTCGTTTTTTATCGTTTCTTCAATCAGGGTCGTTTCGTAGTATTCTTGGATATCTTTTTTTATGGCGGTAATGGACAATTAAATTTTTACCTTTTGTCAAAAAAGAAAGCGTTAAAATTTTAATAATTTATAACTAATAAACTAACTCTTAGGTTAGCTTGCTAAGTTTATTTCTTTCTAACCGATTATCCTCATAGCAAACAGGGGGTACGATATAATTACGTCATTAAAATATTGGAGGGATGGGGGATACAAACATAGTTAGTATCCATTTTATATTTTACATAAGGGAGGGAGCTTAACTTAATTTGACTAGAAAAGTCTAGAGGGCTCTGATTGCAACAACCCTAAAAATTGGATCGATAATTATATTTATCCTTTATTTTTAGGATTTTTAATTATTACAGATTAAATAGTAAAATATACATTCTTTGAAATTACTTATTTTAGGATAATATTTTACTAGTAAAAAACATATTGTGATTATAAACCTAAGAGAGCCTTGAACAAATCGCTTTTGAAAGTATCGATTACTTTATCTATGGCAAATTTTAATGGTTCGGTGTGTCTTTCGTTTTTAGAGTCCAATTTCTTCTTGTAGTTTTCAAGCAAAAGCAGAGCATTTTGAGCGTCTATTATTTTTTTAAAAAAATAATTGTACGATATATTAAAATGAGCTATGTAAATAGGGGAGGGGGAGTATTTTTCATTTTAAAAATATAACTTGAAAAAAAGTTAAAGCTTCTATTTTATAAATATGAGTATAATCTCAGCTAATGTGGGCATTTATTAGGGTACAAATTTATTTTGCTCAATTTAGGTAAAAGTGCATTCAATAGACAAGGAGAGGAATAAATAATATTTTACAATTTTAAATATATATTAATCGATTACAAAATTGTCCTTTTTTCGCTTTAAAAATAAATTCCTTTAATATTATTCATATTAATCGTATAATCGAGATCTAATATAGATATGGATATTTTAAATCCAATATTATAGGGGAAAAAATTCTAATTTGCTTATATCTTCATGGAATTAAGTTCAGGAAAAGTGGGTAATGGGTGCAGAGATTGATAATGACTAAAATATGGTATAAAAAAATATGAATTCTATTACAAGTAACAATCTATACTCGACCTTTCTTCCTTTGGTCAAAACATGAATGTTCACTCGAGAGAATGGTGGTATCTTCATTAACATAAAAAAATATTTCAGATTTGTCATATGTTATCATGAGATGCTATCATCCTAAATCACTGCCATGCCAATCATTCACAATGAATGTCAAAAAGCAAATAAATAAACGTATTCAATTATATTACAAACTTATAATAAAAAACATTTGGATTTTCGATAATAATTTAGTTGTAAAACTTGACTTGTTTAAAAAACAAATTCAAATATATATTCCTAGATATATTAATTAATTTATAGATTTTATAATTTAAAAAAGACTAAGTTACAATTTTTTTAAAAAAAATTCTAATTGTTTTAAAACTTTCAGAAGTTTAAAAATTTTAATGAAAATAATATTTATGAAATTTTCTAGAATTATATTTTGGACATGTTTTTATTTTATTATTTTTTAAAAAAGCTTATATATTTTTTATAAAATTCCAAGTTTGCGAATCTTATTTTTTGATATTTTGGACTTAGCCTTATAAGAAACGAAACAATAAAAATTCAAATTTTAATATTACGCTAAAGATTTTTTCTTTGCTTTATATTTCCAAATAATCATTTTAAACTAAGATTGATAAGTATAATTAATTAATGGCAAATTCATCTTAAATATTCAATCGCGTGCGCCATAAAAAAAATCCACTTAACATTGAGACGCGAACAAATTTGTTAAGGCGGAGGTGGTAATTTTTGAAAAAAAAATTAATTTAATTTTAACCTAATATAATAATAATGACGATCGATTTTTAAATTACGTAATCTAAGAGGAAAATAAAAATTTAATCCAAAATAACGAATGAGAGAAAAAAAACGATAAAAATGCCCTTATCGAAATTAAGATCAGTTCGTTCGAATTATGTGTAGGCGCATTTAAAAATTAAGAAATAACGGTTGAAATCATCTGATTTTTCTAAAACTTTATTGTGCATTATCTTTCTAATAATTAAGTGAAGGTTAAGCGCCCGTCTATATAATTTTTATGAAAAAGACGCTACATCCGGGAAACACGTTATTTTCCGTATCTCAATAAATCTGTATTAGAATATTTACTCAAAATTTATTATTGCTCTTTACATATGAGACTCTGTCCTGGTTCGACTCAATACTAAACAGCCTAAAAAGTAAAATAACATAAAAAACGAGAAAAGCAATGCAAACACTTAAAATAAACCAAAATAGAGTATCCTAGTTTAAAGCTAATATCAAAAATAAGTCGAACCAAGTCACAGCCTAAGTCATTTTTTGCTCATGAATACAAGGTCACAATAGCTTGAACCATCTTGCTTTGGAATTTCGTTCATCTATTTAAGAGTACTCTCATTAGAATTTTCTTTCATCTTTGAAAAACCAACGACTATATTAGGGTCAAACGCACCCAAAAACGCTATATCTTGCTTGGACAAGGCGGCGTCCCGTCCCGGTTGGACGCTTGAATTTTTTATTTCTAAACTACTAAACCTAAAAATCTATAGTTAAATTTTCATAACATATCTCCTAGTCTGATAAAAAAAAATCCTTGTCATGATTTTGAGTCAGCCTAACGATAGTGTGCTCATTTAAATTTCGAGTTTTTTAAAATAATTAAATTAAATACATGATTATACAACAAAATCTGTAAAATTCTTAAAATCGCGTTTAGTTTAATAATAATCAATTTTAACAAACCAATTGTATGATAATCAGCTATTCTTGATAAAAGTAAGAGAAGAATGAATATTTTTTGAATAAAACTACCGTTTTTTTTAAAAAATAAAATAAAAAATCTGTTTTTAGTCAATATAGCGTTTGTAAATCTTTTTTTATCTAAAAAAAGAGAAAAGACCTTTATAAATCAAAAATGTTATCCACCTGACATAAAAAATAAATTTATGATTATTATAAAATAGCAAAACAATAATACAACATTAAAATGAATTCCCTAGTCAGAAGACACAAACTTTTTTTGGGAAAACATTTTAAGTAGAAAAGGATTTAATAAGATATTTATAATTCGTTCATGGATCATCATCTTATTATTCTTTGTAAATTTGTTACGTTTTATAAATACTACATTTGAAATAGGTAACAAAGGTCCTTTTCATCCGTCAAAATTGTATAAATATTTCGATCAAAGAAAAAAAAGAAATCCAAAAATGTCGCTATATCATCCGAATGGGAGCGCTATAAAAAATTAAACATTTCTGCTAGATTAAGATAACTCTCCCCCACGAGCGTCGCGAATGGATTGATTAAATCCCTTTTGTAGATCAAAAAATAAAAATATCCAAATATTTCGAAATTAGAGACAGTTGTATTTGTTTGATTTTAGTAGTTTTTATTTTTCATGAATATTATAATTTTTGATATAGCAATCCAAGAATATGATGATGAAAGTTATCAACATAAATACCAAACATGATGTGATTATATTTTCATAATACCAAAAAAAAATTATATTATAAAAAAAACTAATTTGTAAGAATAAATCCATTTTTCTAGAGAATTCAGCAGATAATCTAACCAGGATTCAAATCTCAGAGATAAATTGAAAAGAAAATACATAAATCTAATCAGTATACGAAACATTCCTTCCTTTTGTACCACTACAAAAAAAAATCCGATATGCGATTGGTTTGAATTAACACTTATTTTTAGGACCAACAGAAAAATCGTTTCAAATAAAAATTTCTATTTTCGTAAAGACCAAAATTGATGTTAATATTAAGTTAATTCAATTTTTTTTAGATAACGAATGTTTCCATAAGTAAATTATATATTTTAATCAGTGACCTGAATGAACTATAAAAAAATTAAGCAGTAAATAAATGAATATAAATTTTATCCGTTCAATTGAACTCATATGGATTTAAATTAGAATCTCTCTTTCTTCTCAAAAATGAAATCCAAATATCATTTTTTTACAAAGAGCAAAAATAAAATGACAAAAGAATTGTATTTTTTAAATATTTAGAGAAAGTTATTATTAATTATGATTAAATTTAAATCTTGTTGGTTCACAAAAGGATAAATAAAATTAGATTTTTTGCCTTAAAATGGTTAGGATTTAGGAAGGTTCCAAATTCGGGTCCCTTATTTTAATCACATAATATTAGACACAACCTTATAAAAAATACTTAAATTACATAGAACTCATTAGCAATGTGAGTACCACTGGTATCCGGTTTAGAGCACATTTAGGGGCAAATTAAAGATCTAGCGTAAGGCATAGAAATTCGTCGTTCTTAAATATTTTCGATTGTAAAAAGTTTTCTATTTACCTGATAATTTATTAACTATCGATTCCATCGGTATCCAAGATGTAGATTAATTAGGCAATAGATTATCAAATGGCATAACTTTTAGAATTTGATCCTTAAATTTATCCCCCCCCCTCCCTTTCACATTTTTAATATTTCGAAGGAAGTCTCAGGATTTTAATATATAACGATTTCTTATTATATATTCTTAGACAAATGCAAATTCTACTACTAATTTAATTACATATATTTTTTACAAAGAAGTAAACCTTTAAACACGTTGAATAGAATAGGTTATCGTTCATAATTTTATAAGGGGTTATGGTTAGCCAAAAACTTGATTGCATTTATTTATTATAATTATAAGATTTAAAGTTATTAAAACGTACAATTATTTATTTTTTAAAAAAAACCTATTAAAATTAAAAAGTCTTAGTAATTGGCAAATATTATTAATTATTCCTTTTTTAAGACTAATTAAAAATATACAGTATAACTTGCTTAATATTGTGTTCTTCAAGGGACTTAAAATTTAAAATCGAGAAATATTATAAATTAATCGGATTTAAATACTATCGGGGAACCTATGAGTAATGAGTTATGACGCACAATTCCAGATTTTTTTTTCTGCTTATTCCTATATTTCATTTTTAAGTACTTTTTTTCTCATAACGATAAATTCCTATACTTTGAATTTTATTTATTTTTAATCCTTTGATCTTTTTTTGTAACAGATTAATTGATATCATTCTCATTCACCATTTATATTAATAGATAAAAGATTTACACAATATCGTGGTTTCTTAGATTGTTGCGAGAATGTTAGTACGCTTCAAGATTTGAGGTTTCAATTTTGTTTTAAATTCATGAGATATACGTCATTTAAAAATCGGGGTTCGAAGGACCTCACCTTAAAAGAATCTGCATCGATCCCGATTTCAGAAATATTGCATGTTACGGGATTTCGCGATTTTTAATTTTAAGGGAATATCGTTTATTCTGCAGATATCGTAAAATTGACCATTTTAATTATGTATATATCAAAATGGCGGATAAAAAATTATTTTTTTATGTATCATTACTTTCCGACAATAATTTTAGCCAGGTTCGGTTTAGGGGAATATTTTTGAACCAGGGTTGCTTCCGAGTTCAGCTCAGGTTTAGGAATTTTTGAATTGATAAAAAAATATATATTTAACATTTAAAAAACTAAATTTAGCATAAAAAATAAAATTTTTATTTTATTTATAGGCAAAATATATCTAAAAATACAAAGCATAGTCATGTATCGATTTTAAAAATTTTATTTAGACGTATTAGCATAATATCTTCGTTGTTTGCACATCTTCGACTATGAATACATTTTAGATGTGAAAAAGAACTTTCAAGGCTAACCTCTATTAAATATAATTATATGAAAAGATGATAAATTAACTTGAGCTGCAGTAATAGAAAATATGATATTGGATAAAATATATAAAACAGGGTATTGAAGCTTAGCAGACTCCCAAAAATGTAAAATATTTTCCTTCTTATCTAATCTTTTAAAATCGCCAAATTCAATATTTATCGTTCTAATACTTTTATCTGAAACCTTTGACTCTCCTGCCTTTTATAGTTGTATCAATCTAAATTATCTTGTTCAATAACTTCATTCGAACTATTATAATCAGGTAAAAAGGGCGTGGATATAGGTTTAATCATACTCTATGAATTAATAAGATGCCTTTTCGCACAAATCTATTCATCATCATTAAGTAATATCTGTAATATGTACCTTAAATATTTAAATAAATTGAAAATATTAAAAAATCTCATTAAATTTTTAATATTTGTATTTACAATTTACAATTTACAACTATCTTATATAAAGCAATATTCAGTGAACCTGGTTGAACCCAGGTTCACAAATGCGGGGTTTCGAAAATTTTATAAAAGGGGTTCAAGTTCAGGTTCATAAATTTTTTCAAAATCATAGGTTTTCTTCTCCGGGTTCGGGTTAAGAATTCTTAACAATATTACATATTAATCATGGAAAAAAAAATTTAATTTAGAAAATATATCAGGTAGCAAGGTAGACACAGTTAGTGTTGTTAAACGGTTCGATGCCGATTTTTAAAAACAGTTAACTCAATATTTTATCCAAAAAAATATTATGCAAGCCTGGAAATTTTGTTCATAGATGCCATAAAGGTTTGGACATATTTTAGCGAAATCTCGAGGTTTAGGCAATATTTTTCTGGCTAAAATATTGAGTTAGCAGTTTTATAAAATCTGCTCAAATCTAGCGTTTAACAACACTGAACACAGTTCCCCTTTATTAATAGTTATTATTATTTATGAACTTACCATTTATAAAGAGGCAGGTGTTAATAGGTATTATACTTTAAATTTATTCTATTAGAATTAATTCCAAATTGAAAAGAATTATTTTTGAGGTTCAAAAACATCACTAGAATTAAAAAAATTATTCTAGCGATAAATAGATAGTGCAATTTCCAAGAAATTCACTTAATCTTAGGCGAGAGTATTTTCACAATAAAATTTATTGGGAATCTGTCTATGATTGGATGCTTAAAAAAATTTTAATTAAATTTAGAAATATTGTAGGCGTAAGTAGTGTAGTTAAACGGTTCGATTTGGAACGATTTTTAAAAACGGCTAACTCAATATTTTTCCCAAAAAAAAATACGCAAGCTTGAAGATTTTTCTCAGAGGTGGCATAAAAGTTTGGACATCTATAAGCAAAATCTCGAGGCTTGGGCAATATTTTTCTGACTAAAATATTAAATTAACCGTTTTTAAACGGCTCAAATCGAGCTGTTTAACAACACTAACCGTAAGTGCTAGATGATAGAAATAGATAATAAATGAGTATATATAATAAAAAAATTAGAACCTCGAATTACAGTTTATAAAATATATATATTATATTAATAAATAGTACTTCCACCAATAGTTGAAAACTCCAAAATATTTTTCGAACAAAAATAAATGATTTTTGATTTTTTAAAAGTAAAATACATTTAGAAAGATAAAATTTCCCAAATATTGAAAAAGGGTAGGGTATATACATACAAGAGTATAACTGGTAATAATATTTTCCTTTTTTTATCCCGTTAAATAAGCAGGACCGCTAACTTTTTCTAGTTGGGGCTCATTTTTTAAATAAAAAAATCAACATTAGCAAAAAAATTAAAAAATGAGCAAAAATAAAGAAAATATCTAAAAATTAACACAAAAAAATGTAATTCCTTACCTAAAATTTGTAGAAAAAAGGGACAATATTTAAATAAAATTCAATATTTTGCAGGAGTGTTTTCCAAAGTTTTCGAGGGAGTCTTGGGTTGATGAGCCTTTAAGCCACCACTCCTGATGATGCTGCCTTTAATAACTGTTTATTGCTGAAAAATAATATAGAGGTCAACGAAATTATAATATACTAATTTTAAATGTGCCAAAGAATTTTAGAATATTAATAAATAAATAAAATATTTTATTATGCGGAGACAATACGTGGGTAAAATTATTATAAATTTATGTAGAGAAAAAAAATAAGAATGTAATAATACCAAATTAAGCTAAAAGTGCGATGGGGGGAAAAAATCAATAAAATTTCAAAAAAATGTTTTTTCCTAAGCCAAAATATGGCGTATGAAAAATATTTGTAATTTGAGCCATAGGGTCCGCAACAAACGTTGATTTAAAATATTCTAATTTTATTGTAAATGTATAGTGTATCGATTTATTTTTGTGATCCCCAAAGCGGCTAAATCGACTTACTAAAATCCTCGCGTTTCATGGTTTAGCATTTTTTTTGGAACGCACCTGTAAATTGAGTCGAATAAGACGATTTAGAATGCATTAATATAAATTTGCTTTATCATTTATTATGATCATTTTTAAAGGTTAATAAGTTGTTTTTTTAAAATTTTATAGAATGGTTTAGTACGTTAATTAGTACTTACAGATTTACTACTAAATCGGATTGTTAATAATTATTGGTTTTAAAAAATAAATAAGTGCACCATCTTCAATCAAACATAAAATCTAACCATAAAAAAAGTTATCCTAATCCAAATGGTTTTTTGGGTGAAATGCCAAGATATTGCTTGGATATATAAAATATAAATAGCGCATGAATTTAGGAGCAAGTTTAGACCCCATTTCTAAAATATTAGGCTAAAAAATGACCTGTGCCGAATCTGACCAAAACTGGGCAATTTGTTAAAATCATTTCAGGCCATGCCAAACCAAATGTTTCCCGTGCAAGATATTTACTCAGGCCTGCCAGAAAACCTTTAATTGTTGACAGGCCAGTGCGGCCTGATCTCTTATTTTAATACCGTTTACGCTTCTCGTAACATTACCATCTTTAATTTATAGTCACAAAAATTAATAATTTAAATATTTCTTAGTAATTTCCAAGTTATATTGTTATTTTAGAACCCTTGAGAAACATTTTAAGCAAGTTTCTCCTAAAAACTAAGGCTTACAAATTTGCCATCGCTTAAAGAAAAGATCCACCATGTGATGAAGAAAAATAGGTTATGATTCAATTACTGTTATATTTGAAAAATAATATTATGGCAAAAAAAAGAAGCTTTTTGTTACATTACATTGCAACAAAATAAGAATAAGTGAAAATTGCATAAATTGAAATAAATGAAGCCCTATTGCGTGGAATAGGAAGACCCTGAAAAAAATAATATAAAGTACCCATAAAAACTTTTAAAAAAATTTTCTTCGTATTTAAATAAATAATAAATTATATTCTAAAGATTTAATTGCAAATCTGTTTTCATATTCAGGCTTTGTATAATTTTTTAAAAATTTTCCCTAGTATAATTATATTCATTCATTTTCAATAATAAAAAAAAAGAATCACTAAATTAATAAAAAGTAGTATAACTGATTACAAATATAATAATCGCAAAACTCTTTATTATAGCTTCTAAAAATTTTAAGCCCAGGACACACAATTTAATTTTTCCTAAATTATTTTTTAACCTTCAGGCTTACATTATATTATTTTGGCTAAAATCTTAAGGGCCGTTTTTAAAAATCGAATCAAATCCGTTTACTATACTTTACGTTAACATACAAGCCTGGCCTAAAAAATTTAAATTATAAAATAAACACATTTCTTATGAAATCACTAATTGTTTAGTTCTAATCCCAAGAGAAATATTTTATATCCATTTATTTTAATTTTTTTTTAAATAAATAAGCAAAAACATTTTCTAAGTTTAAGTTCAGCCCGATTTTTTCAAGCTTGGCTTCTGGAATTGGGTTTCATGCTTAATAGTTCTACTTTCCATTTTCATATTGATAGAATTAAGGCAATGTAAAGTTATGTTACGCACCTGAATAAGATTATACTGAAGGTTCCTCTTTATACACACTAACTAAAAATTTATCCACTTTATATAAAAAGAACATTAGTGATTTATAATATACGCGTCCCTTTTTATTGCTAAGAATCCATTTACAGGGAGCATTTATTTTATTTTTTCGATTAAATTATAATTTTTTTGATTTAAATCAAATATTATTGATTTTAAAAAAAAATATCTAATACATTTCAAATCTTTTTCCCTAATATAGGCATAAACTATTGTATTAGCAATATTTAAGAGTAAAAAAAATTTCCTCATAAAACAACGTACAATTAAAAAAAAAAATTTTAAGTGTTAACACGTTTATTTATCAATTTGCACGTTATCAGTTAAAAAGCATTATTTAAATAAAATACTTCAATTTATAAGCATTAATCTCAATAAAGTATTAAATCAATGTTATATTTATTAAACAGGACGGAAATAATTATGAAACTTCTTTTTTTTACATCTTCAAATTTAAACAATTTTATAATATTTTCATTTATTTTTTTATACAAAAAAAAATCAGGATTATCACAGCATCTAGAAAACTAAATCGAATTATGAAATATTCATATTAATTTATAAATTTCGAATCGAATAATTTTGTATACATTTTTGTATGAATGGAATACTTTTATTATTCGAATTTACATGAATAATTCTGTTTTTTTTAAATTAATTTTTCGTATATTATCAAACATTTTATTGCGTAATTCAATTCATACTCTTATGTAGATCGCTCTATTTGAGACAATTTAAAAAAAAGGCTAACTCAGCATTTTATCCAAATAAATATTAAGCAAGCCTTAATATTTTGTCCATATATGGCACAAAGATTTGGACATCTAATAATGAAATCTCGATGTTTAGGTAATATTTATCTAGTTAAAATATTGTTAGCCGTTTTTATCAAATGGAGCGATAATGCTTGACTACTCGTATGTATTATAAGATACAATTGTATATAATAAAATAAATTTATAAATAAAAGCCATGTTTCCATAAGGTTTTCCTAATTGTTTATTTTTATAGAAACATAATTTTTGATAATTATATACGCGCCTGTAAAAGTAGGCACTAATAAGATATAAAAAGCTCTATTATTTACCCCCCCCCCTTCTATTTGCAAAATCACCATTTATAAATATTTATTTTATTTTTATATAAGAAATTTAAAGTCACCATCAAAATCAAAAAATTAATACAGGGCAAATGCAATAAAAAATAAAAAATTTTGATTATAGTGAATTATTTTAAAACAAATTTTATTATGAATATTTTTAAAATAATTTATAAAAAAATATATTATTATTTGTTAATATTAATTTGGTTCAACCAAAACTACATAATTATTGACTACGGGTTAAATGATATCAAAAAAATAATGAATAAATACATATAATGATTGTAGACACTGCGACATGCCACCCTTTATGGGCCAGGAGCAGGCTTAGCTTATTATAGTCATAAACACAAAAAAATATTTTAATTCCAGGTAAGATAATGTCTTTACCTGTGATAAACTATTTACTATTGCAACATCAAATCCTCCCACAGCATGTCAATGGGGTTTACGATTGGAGTAGCTGACAATCTTTCTTGATCATTATCTGTAAGTTTCACATGACATAGTTCTCTATGGTTCATCTGAGATACTGGGTCTCTGCATATTAGCTATCAATTGAGATATCAAAGGTCTCTGCATATCGGTCACCAATTGAGATGTTGATGGTCTCTGTTCATCTGGAACTGAGGGATTGCCGATATATCATTTGAGATATCAAAGGTCTCTGCATATTGGTCACCAATTGAGATGTTGATGGTCTCTGTGCATCTGAAACTGAGAGATAGCCGATATGCAGAGACCCTCAGTATCTCAGACAAAACAGAGAACTATGTCACGTGAAACCTACAACTAATGATCAAGAAAGATTGTTGACTACTTCAATAGTAAATAAACCCCATGGACATGCTGTGGGAGGATTTAATGTTGCGATTAAATATTCAATCACAGATAAGGGCATTATCTTACCTGGAATTGTAAATAAATTTTTTTTTAAGCTCAGCATGCTCCTGGCCCATAGAGGAGTGGCATGTTGCAGTATCTACAATTATTATATGTATTTGTTCATTATTTTTCTTGATTTCATTTAACCCATCAATCAATAAGTATTATGTAGTTTTGATTGACCCAAAATAATAAAAAATATATTTTTTTATATATTATTTTATTGTAAAAAAAGAATGGAATTATTTTTTTTATATAATATTGATATATTCCTTTTTGTCTTAAAAAGAAAATGTTTTGATACTAAATACTCTCAAGCAATACAACATATAAAATTAGTTATAAATTTAGTTATCACAATTAAAACTTATATATGCAAAATATAGATAAATGTGGAATAATAATAATTAATTAATTGATTTAAACATGATTTTTATTAAAAAAATCCGTGATTTTGATCAATTCGAATTAATCCCCTAATATTTACCGAATATTTATGATATAATGTTTGACTTATTACTTTTATGAAATTAAAGTATTATCACATTAAAATGGTGTTGTTAAATGACTTGATTTGAGTCTTTTTAAAAATGGCTAACTTAATATTTTATTCAGAAAAATTTTATGCAAGCATCTTTTGCTCATATATGGCACAATGACATATACATCTATTAGCGAAATATTGAAGATAAGGCAATATTTTTCTGGCTAAAATATTAAGTGAGCCATTTTCAAAAATCGACTCAAATGAGCTATTCAAAAACGCTATTAAGATATATAAAAATTTGTGAATCATGGAAAAAAAAAATCCATGTTAAATATTTCTTATTCATCTTTTAACCCTTTATTGCTATATTTCAACATTAAAAAAAATCCTCTATTGCTCACCTGTAAAAACTTAAATAAAATAATCACTGAGATTGTTTAAAATGTTATTTTTTGATATTTATTGAAATTTTATAATATAGAATACAAAAATTACCAAATAATTTATAACTGGGGGAGGGACATATTTTTTCCACTGTGTATTATATACATTATTTTTTGTTATGAAAAGAAGAATCAATTTCTTTTATCGTTAATACATAGCGAAACTTTATAAATAAAACATTCCCAGGATGTCCTAGAACATTCACAGGATGTCCTAATATATTTTCCCAAGGGATTCCGAATCACTAGCAAGAATTTTTAAAG